TTTTTTTTTTTTTTTTTTTTTTTTACAAAAAAAGCACTGGATAGGACATTGCAAAAAATAAATGTACATGAATTGAAATAATATCTACTTAAGTTTTAAATGGGTGCAAAATAAGATGCCCTATTTATAAACTTTATCCCAACTATCTTTACCATTCTCTCTCTCACACAACTCACTCTTACACATAGAAAAACACAGGTACACACCTACTCCATCAAAAAGAGAAAAAATAGATGAAGAAAAAGAATAAGATGGAGGAAAGGGGAATGTGTTGCTATACCAGAAAGATAAGGGAAAGGTGGATAATGAAACTGGACAGAGAGAAGGTGAGCTGTATTTAATAAGTGATACTTAAATTGATTGATTCAGCTTTAGAGGATAGTATAACTAGAGAGTGAAGTGCCAAGGAGGTGGAAAAAAAGATGAAATCAGCTCTAAATTCAGACTTACCTTAACAAGTTGTATTCTAAATAGTATACTATAATAGTATGCTGTGACTGAATTAAACCATAGTGTTCAGATTTTAAATCTGCTTGAAAGGGTGGTTTTTCAAATTCACAGTATTAAATATATATCACGGTCATAACTTCTAGAAAGTTCAAAAGACATTCCAGTGTATTTAGGATGATTTCTAAAGATATTTTACCTCTGTTCACAGTTTCAGCAAATCCTACTGTTATACTGAGATACAGGCTTACATACTTATAAAAAACTAGGCCTTAGATAATGATGTTCCTAGGCCAGTGGTGGTGAACCTATGGCATGCGTGCCAGAGGCGGCACTCAGAGCCGTTGACACAGCTCTGCCTCTCCCACCCCTCCTCCTCGCCAGCAGCCCCCCCCAGAGAGTTGCCCCCAGGTGCGGCCTGTGCGGAACAGCACAGCCAAGGGCATGGCAGCCAGGCAGCAGGGATAAGATTCCACCTTCATGCCCCAATGTGTGCAGATGATGCTGCTGGGCACGGGTGGAGGGCATGGCCGCCATGGTGCTGCAGGGCCACCTGGGCAATCTGCGGCGGGCCATGGAGGCGGTGGTGGTCCTGTGAGCGGGCAGGGCGAAGCGGGGGATGGAGCGGGGGTGGAGCAGGGGCAGATGGCAGAGCGGGCGGATGGGCTGGGTGGTGGGGTGGTTTTGGGGCACTCAGTCTCTAAAAGGTTCGCCATCACTGCCCTAGGCTATCATCAGAATTACAATCTTGACTATCATCCCTATGGATGTATTGAACTTCCATAATTTCTAGTCCACATGACCAAAGCCTGAGAATTATAGGAATCCAAATTTAAAAAACTTTTCGAAAATACTGATTTGAAGAAGGCTGTATTTCAGGAGAAAAGTTTGTCCATGAACATGGCTCAAGTCAGCAGTCCTTAGACTATCTTTAATTAATGTTTCAAAAATCCTCTGCCTCAATCAGGTATTTATATCTCCTATTGTTATTACTTGTAAAGGTGTCGATGGTCACCATGATATCTAAAGTCTGCCTTGTATTAGAATAGAAGTGAAAGGTTTTAGAGGAAGCAACACTTAGTACCGAAATGAAAGTTGATGTTACTTTTGCTTTTGTTTTGCTTTTAGGATACTCAGATTTTCTGTGTGCAAAGCAGACTGTTAAAATTCGCTGATTTTAAATTTTGGAAAGATGATTTTGGATTATCTCCGGTCTTAAAGAAGAATAGAGCGACTGAAAAATCAGCATTTACTGTTTCTCCCTTTCAGGCTTTGTTCTTGAAAGAAAAGAACAGAATAACATAGCAAAGCTAGATAGAGGTATATATAAATACAGACAGCGCTATATGCATCACTAGATATATCTATTCTACTTTAGGGCATGCCAAAGGTTTGCACTGATACATGATGCTTATATTGTGCTTCCATGCATAATCGCTAACATGCTTCAATTTAGTTCACAATTTATATATTAGTTTGTTGCTAAAATTTCTAGGCCACTCTACTCCCAATGGTTCAGAGCTCCGTGCATACAGGAAAAAGTTATTGCACAATCAGTAATCTCTATATAATTTGCTTGGAGCATGGGCGTCTTATGCAGTCTTGCACATAGATGTCAGTGGACCTGACTGGGAGAAAGCTAATTTGAATTAGTTAGTTGCTCAGTTTACAGGTGGGTGATAAAATGTATGTTTTTAAAACTCATGCATTTTTACTGCAGACCATGAAACCAACCAAATTGGGTAGGGATAAAATTAATAGACTTTTTGTTCTGCATTTTAAAGAGTATGGGGTTAGTTGAGAATGTCACCAAACCCTTTAAAAAATTCCACCTCAATCAAAAATCAAATCAAAAGGAAAAAAAAAGATCAACATTCCTAGTTTTTAGGGGAAATTAAGGCAAAATGGATATCTTAAGCCTCTGCAGGGTATATATATATAAAAGGGTCCAGAAATGCCAGTTCTCCCCACCCTGAAGTCCCAATGTGATTGGTTTTGTGGGGCAGGAAGTTATTTGAAGCCCTAGATGAGTGATGGCGAACCTTTTAGAGACCGAGTGCCCAAACTGCAACCCAAAACCCAATTATTTATCACAAAGTGCCAGGACCGCATCAGGGGGGACAAGGTGTGGCCCACTGGGTGGGCATGGCTGCAATGTTCACGGCAGACTGAATGGGTGTGGCCAGGGTGTTGCTTGTGGGGGGATGCCTGTGGAGGCTGGGCAGTATTGGGAGAGATCCAGGGGGTCTCTGGTGGGTGGGGCGGTGGGCAGGAGACTCGTCCTGCGGGGGGTGAGGCAGGGGGTAGGGCGGGGGTGCCATTGCTGTGGAGCAAGGCAAGATAGGGGTGGCTGCTGACTCACACCATCAGTCCCCACACACAGAGGCCAGCGAGCACATGGGGGCGTGCTTTACCACCTCTACTCGAGCTTGCTAGCCAGCTGCTTCACCTCCTTTGTGCTGGGTGGGGCTGCCGCTCCAGGCGCCAGCGGTGGCCTAATGGACTTGCACGAGCTGGCGGTGGTGGCAGCAGGTGTGCCCACAGAGAGGACTCTGAGTGCCGCTTCTGGTACATGTGCCATAGGTTCACCATCACTGCCCTAGACCAAAAAAGCTTCCTTACCTTTTCAAAAAGTGTTTGTACCATGTAGAATTCTTGTTTAGTCCCATCACTTTGAAAAAGTGTTTTTGAATTCTGCTGTCTAATCATGTCTTGGAAGCATGGCAGAAAATGTTTGCAAGCATTGTTTTCCTCTCCTCTGGGTTAATTTGTTCTCTAAGAAGTTTCTTCAAGGCAGATGTCACATTCAGGTTCCAGCCTGCTATAACCATCATCCCCACTCAGTTTACATTCGGGATTTTCCTACTTTTATTCAGCTACAGGAGCTGCTCCGTCATTTTGTTGGAGCTTGTAACAATTACTCTAAACCTGATTATTATACCTCTGATGCTCCCTCAGTGTGTTTAACATCACTATCTAGGTACCAATCCGTGTACCAAATCTCTCCTTCGGAAGACATCCATTCCTACAATGAACAAATTTATTGGATGGCAGAGAGTCCTGCTGTGGAGTCCGAGTTCAAGTTCAGGCAGTAGAGGACTGAATACTTTAACTTTAACTTTAATCACATTTATACCCCGCCCTTCTCCTGGTGGACTCAGGGCGGCTTACATCAGTTCATTCAAAATACTACTGATACACAAGTTCTTATTGAAATGCTTAAGACAGCAAGTTCTCTCTTCAACTCCCTACGACATTGAGAATATTTATAAGATAAAGCAAGAAGGATTCCATTTCTTATTCCAACATCCTCTGCCTAATTCTAGAATAATGGAGGCATCACAGTCATGACCAACAATATTCTCTACCCATAGATCAGGCAGAAAAATTGGATTGTCATGGGGACAAGGTATACTCTGTGAAGACACTCCTTCCATACTAGCAAGCTGTCAAGCTTGCATGGCAATATGTCATGTCTTGCTGCCAAAGATAACACATTCCTCTCTCACTTGCCAGAGGACAAGAGGTAAATACTTCCTTTTTTTTTTTTCCAGAAGCAGCACATTTTGCAAAACAGGAATTAAACACTTGGCAGTTTATGTCATCATCCAGTATTGCCATACCTGGCTCATCTCCACTGAACTGACACTGGAGGCTGTTTTAAATTGTGGGTCTTCCCTTCAATAAAAATAGAACATTCAGTAACAAGATTTACTGAATGCAGTTCCTAAGCTTGTTAAAATACACCACAGATGCAGGCAGCATCAACTCTACTTCTTCCCCATCACATTACTGATCTTGGTTCAACCAAATAGCAGCATATTCAGTAGACTGTTCTCTTGCCTCTTAAGTACTCTAGTGTACCTAAGGAGGGTGACAGGTTTAGACTTTTGCTATTTCATGTTTTTTCTTTAACGTAATGCGTATTTCTTCCTCTCTTGCAGAAGGGAAGGAGATGCACATATTCTCATGTATCCATAGTCTCCCATGATCTCTCCTTTCATTTTCTAGTAGATGGAACCATTTGCCAATGCTGCATGTTGCCGTATGGCCTCTTTACAATCCCAAAGGGGGTTTTTTTCCCTTAAATTTTCTTTAATTTTAATGTTAATTTAATTTAATTTAAATTTTCCTTAAACTGATAATACTTCTTGTTGTATTCCTCTGGCTTCAAAGTACCATTTTGTTCCTTTACTCAGACAACTGATTCCATGTATTTGTGTTCTGAGCGATCCTACCACATAGCTCATTAAGTTGTTTTGTTCAGTGAAGTCACTTTGTTACTCTTGCAATGGCACTATGTGCTTTGGGATGTTGTATGCAAACTTTTCTTCGTAGTAAAACTCAGAGTCTACATAATCCTCCATGCAGTGGCTGCAACTATAGTTGTTTGCTTTATCTCTCTTTGGAAGTGCTCCCAACAGGATGGTGCTTCTGATGCACTTTCCCTTGTGACCTCCTCTAATACGGTTCCACCCTGTATTAAAGAATTCATCCATTGGGAACTGATTTCAGTCAAACCTATTGGACGGAATATCTCCAATGCTTGTGCACGTCCTTACTGCTAGTTCTTTGGTGACTAGATAGGAAATTCAATTCTCATACCTTTTCATTCAAGGTGCTTGATCTGGTATGAAGCCTCATGAAACATTCATTAATTTGGAATTAATTACCAAGGCTGTTTCCATAGCTTGTCCAGCTTATTTTGGGCAGTTTTACAGTGGTCTAGTTCATGAACAAGGAGATTTGAAAACTGCCCCACTTTGGTACTGTTACAGATTTGGCATTGGTGTATCTGTCACTCCATCCTAGCAATCTATATGCCTGGAAGTGACTACTTTTCCCTGACCTGCTCAGCCTTATCTAAAAAAACCTCCACCCACAAATAGAACTTAAGTCTGTAAGGGATGAGATTTCATTTCTGTATAGCCTTTATTGTTTTAGGTATACACAGTTTTAATACTTATTTCTTTCTTTCCCTTCAGATTGTTGCAAAATAGAATAATGGTGGAAATAGTAGCAGCATTGAGTAAATATTTAGCATCATAAATTTATTGCTTAATTTTTTCAGACACATAGCCCTTGTTAGTGATTACATAATTAATCTTCCTAAATCAAAGCCTTTGCTTTGTATAAAAATCTTCATTGAGATTGACATCTAGAGAGCTCAGCAGCAGTTCTGAATTTCAAATGCTAGGTTGATGTTGCCTCGAATGACAATAGAGGATGAGCAGGCTGTCTCATCAGCATTCTGGCTGCATCTCTCATGCTTGGTATGTCAAACAGGGCATCAGCTGCTGTGAAATTGCCACATCACCTTTTATAAATGGCACAATGTAATCATTTCTCCATTACTTTGTACGTGGCTTCATCAGACATATAAGGGATTGGTTACCTAAGTTATTATGTTCCTAAAACACGTCTGCTTCTTGAAAAAGATCAGAACTAATTCAAAATACTGCTGAGTTTTTCTGCATTGATTCCTCTTGGAGAAAACTGTAAAGCAAATGGCAGAGATACTGTAGAGATGACAGAGAAAGGTTGCTGGATGTCAGCCTCATTTGCAATTCTTCATGGCGATCTCTCTATATTAGTCAAAATATTCGGAAAGTTTTTAGCTGAGATTTTTGGTGAGCAATAGAGCACCGCCTAATCCATATGAATGTTTAAAGGAGCATTTAGCACCCTCTTCTCTTTTTGATCATTGTCGCGGATGCCTCTTCCTCAGTATTTCATATTTCTTCACTTTCCGGCTCCCCATGACCATTTCTGTATTCCACTCATGGTGTTACTGGCTTATGGTCTCCGTTTCACTAACAATTCTCCGCAGAGATCATGACCGATGTGCATTAAATTTTGAGAAGGAAGCTCAAGTTGGTTTTAACTTCTATAATCAACCATCTTTCTTCCTAGAAAATCTTGAAAATGAAATCTTATCTTTTGCTTTTAAAATGTGTTCTACCATGCCACTGGATAACATTCTGAAATGTGCAGTTATTACTTTTGAGAATTTTCAATAAAAAAAAGAATAAGTAAAATAGGCAAGCACGTTTGGCCTTGGCATCACACTTAGGGTTTTTCTCCCTATGTTTTTAAAAGCATTTATCCTATTCTACATAGTTGGCAAAAGTTGTTTCTCTTACTTTTTTTAATATGTATTTCCCTTTTTTAAAAAAAAGGCTTGATTTCCAGTGTATTTGACATGTTGTTGCCTGGTTTTAAAAAGCTTGGTTTCCCCATTTTCTGTTTCACAGTATACAATCTCACTCTGGATGCTTATACATCAATAGAAGATGCCTTTAGGAAATAGGCTACATCAGGGTTATTTGTTAATCACTCCAGTAATATATATGGGAATTGGGTTCTGGAAATCAAGAATTGCCAAGACCAAATCTACCATAATTTTACTCTGTATTGCTAGTATTTCCATTAGCAATCTCAGTTGATATCTGCCAATAGAATTGTAAAAATGGAAGCCGCTGATTAATAAGAAATAATACAAGCAAGAAAAACAAACAAATTAGAAGCAAACTTCAAGTAGGTCACTTGAGTGGTTCTCTGAAATCTATATTTGAATATTTTGATCTAGAGTTCATTTTCCCAGAACCAAAAATGCCAGGCTCTGTTTTTTAAAAAAACACATCCAAAAGTTTCTGTAATTCAGCAGTAAATGTATTCATGCAGTGTTCAAAACACAGCCTCTGAGTCTCCTGTGGATCCTGGCTTTGTACAGTGAAATTATCTGGCCTTATTTTGTATATTTTTATGATGTTTTGTGTCCTGAAGCTTTCAGATGCATTGACAACACAATAGTACAGTTCTTTACAGATTATCAATACTATATTTCCAGCCCTTCCTACTTCTGCGAAACGAAGTCTTCCCAATTTGGGTTCTTAACACTGGGTTGCTAATAGAGGTAGATTATTTGACTTTGTGCATGGAAAGAACTGTGGGTGGTGGTAAAAGAAAATCTTGTTCTGGAAATGTCAGTGTATGTTAGAGTATAAATTAGAGGCTTCTGATGAATTTAATGTAAAGAGTTATTGTGCTATGTCTAACTCCATAAAAGGACTTTTGAGGGTAAAACTAAATCATGCCAGCTTTCTCTCCCAAACATGCAGTTTGTTCTGTGTCTTACTTTGTGAAATCTTTTTTTTTAACATAGACTTTTTAAATAATTAAATTATTCTGAATTGGGAGAGGCTATCCTTAATTAAATTCAGAGTTTCCAGCTCTTGATTCATTGAAATTATGACTCTCCTGATTGTTTTCTAAAAAACAAATCAAGGTACTAAACTTCCTCTAATCTCCTATAATTCAAATGTTGGGAACTTTTCCATTGGGAATCATTCCCTTTGTTGTCATGTATGTGAGATGCATAATCTATTTTCCAAATCTGAAATTAGTCCTTTTTGCATGTGTTGAAATATGCAAAGGCATCCCCACTGAAATAAATTTCCGTCTTCCCAGTCTTTTACTAGCTTTGATACAAAAATAATGTTCAATTAGAGTCGATGACTTCTCTTCTTCTGAAAGTGGCAGATTAGAGATTGAGATAAGAAGGCACACTGCCCCACTAAACCAGGGGTCTTCAAACTTGGCCCTTTTATGACTTGTGGACTTCAACTCCCAGAATTCTTCAGCCAGCATGCCTGGCTGAGGAATTCTGGGAGTTGAAGTCCACAAGTCATAAAAGGGCCATGTTTGAAGACCCCTGCACTATAAACTATATCACTTGAAAATCCCTTTGAAATGATTCTTTCTGTTTTCAGCATGCACATTTCGGAAAGCCAACAAGAATTCTTCAGAATGCTGGATGAAAAAATTGAAAAGGTAAGAGGAACGAAGAAAATAGTTAATACATTATTGTACTTGAACTGTAATACAGTTGCTTGTGTGTCATCTTGAAATGCGAAGTGACACAGAAATATCTAAAATGTACAACTGTAACTATGAGATCTGTAAAAAGGTGAGAATCCATTTGGGTCTTATCACTGACTTAACAAGTTTCCATTTTGTGATAGATTCCTAACCTATTATTATTTTCACTTACTGATTGATTTTAGTAGAATGTAAAACCTTAATCCTAAAAAAACTTCCTTTAAGGACAGTGCCCATTTTCACTAGAGGCAGCTCTCAATGCCAAGACAATGCAAAGACAGTCTGTACTGTAAGTAGGTACGGATAAATTTCTTAGGTTCCACAAATGGGGTTTTCACACTGGGTTGCAGGAGGATTTAAATGAGTTCCTCAGGACTAAGGGGAAAGAAATCTCTTTGCAACCTTTTCAACCAAGGTTGAACTGTAAATTGTTGCTAGATAAGAGTCCACAGAAATCAAGAGGGGTTGGACTTAGATCATTTGTAGGAACAAAATGACTCTAAGCTGATGACTTGTTTAACTCAGCCTCCCCCCCTCCCCAGCTCCGCCTGCCCTTCTTCTACAAGGGTTTCTCAAGTGCCACAAGCCCACCCTCTTGATCAGGTGTTACATACTTTTTTTTAAAAGCAGATTCTACACTCTGAAAAAGTTTGAAAAAACATGAAATCTCTAGAACAGTAAGCTAGTCTGATTCAAGAGCTTTTACGGGAATATAAGAATTATTATTTATCCTGCCTTGACATAATGGCATATAGAGGCTCTTTTCAGTAGCTCTGATAATTCATCTTACACCTGACAAATGGCTCAACAAGTGTAATTTTCCCCCCTCTTTTTCTTTTGATGACATTTTGGGTCTTTACTGAAATGAAGATTTTAAAAAAAAGTCAAGAGAACATTTTACCTTCATCCTTGATAGAAGTGTTATTACCTTAGGTAACAAAACTGCTGTTCTTCATAAGAAGAACTGAAAATTATTCTCTGACATCAGCAAGTACAAATTAACTTTTACCCTCGAAGCTGAAATGTTTGGTTAAATGCATTAAGGGGAGGTGGAAAATTTGGTCATTCAATAAACTTCAGGAAGCACTCTTTATAGATGATATATATTTCTCCATTAATGTAGTGCAGGGGTCTCAAAATCTGGCAGCTTTAAGACTTGTGGACTTCAATTCCCAGAATTCCTCAGCCAGCATGCCTGGCTGAGGAATTCTGGGAGTTGAAGTCCACAAGTCTTAAAGCGGCCAAGTTTGAAGACCCCTGATGTAGTGGGTATATTCATCCATATGAATAAACCATAGTTCAGCTATTTGAATTGCTGAAATGTAGGTTTCTGCATGATCCTTCTCCAACAAAACTGCAGATGTTTGGAACAGGAGTCTCTTTTTAAATTAAGCATATTTTAGCATATAGTTTGACTTTTCAATTGAGGTTTATCCAGGCTGAAGTAAACTAAGACAAATTTCAGGATTTTCCCCCCTCCCTGCTGTAAAATAAATAGTAGCAAAATTCAATAGCGTCTTCTAATAAAGGAATAAAATAATGCAGTTAAAAGCAGTTACTACAGGATTATGCCAACACTGAATAACCAGCCACAGATTTCAGTAGATGCTTCTATTAACCCAAACAACTTCATTGCAGATGTTTGTACTATTAATAAACACAGTGGTTACATGAAACATCTGGATACACTGCTTTTGTTTTATGTATATTGTAACAATAAAATTTGAACTGTAATACATGAAAGGTTTTTGTAATGATAGTGATTCCCCAAGCAGCAGTTGCTTAACTTGTCTAGACAACACAAAAATAATAGGCGATGGAAAGAATTTGGCTGCCACTGAACGAACTGCATTAGTTCTACACAGCCTGCCCTGGGAAAAGAGGAATATGAGGGCTTGAAAAAGATTCAGGAAAATTGATGTGGGAAAACGAAAGGTTTTCATCTGGCCCAGAAGTGAAGGACCCTGGAAATGCACACTTTACTTAAAAAAAAAAAAGCTGCCAGCCTTTTGTTCTAGACTTCTATTTATGGGAAATCTGCACTTGTATCATGTGCTCCTTTATTGGAGAGGATGCCATACAAATGGACTAAGCAAGCATGTTCAAGTTAATATTTGATGCAACATATTTTGAAAAGCATTGGCTACATGGGAACAGAACATTGGTCTTCGTGTATGGTCCCTGATTTCAGTAGTCTTAAATGACCTAATACTGTCAGATTGGCATTATGATGTTTAAATAATCATAGCTGCTGTCCTTATATTCTGAAAATTAAATGCAAATGAGAAAAAAAATGAAGGCAATCCACGTCTTCTCTTTTCCAGTATGTTAAAGAAGGAATGAGAATAAGAAAAGCTGCTTCCTCTCCATTAGGGGAAAAGGTCCATGATAAATATTTTCTCTTTCATTCCCTGTTACTGTAATGTACCAGGATCAAACTATAATTTTCTTTGTGCATGCACACAAATTTTATTTATTCAATTTCTATAGCCGCCCAACTCAACCAAGAAATTCTGGGTGGCTGATTGATATTAAATTAATAACCACTAATAAAAATTCCCTATATAAAGTACAGTTGCCCCTGCTTGAGCAATAAAATGCTTGCACCACTGGAATTTTTAGACTTTGCTGTGAGTCTCCATATCAGTATATATGTACCTGTTGGGGGCAGGGAGTGACTTTTTCTTGACACAATACATAAACCATCCTCAAAGTAAATGAGAGTGCTATCCATTTCCTAGAATTGTTTCAGAGAAAAGGTTTATTAGCAGAGCAATCATAAAAGGAGCCCACTCTTTTGTTTTCACTTCTTGGCCAAATATAATCATGCTGACCACTTCTAGTGCATTTAAGATTATTTCCTCCCCAGAGTTAAGAACTCACTTATCAAGGCATGATTTTTCCATTTAATCTGCTACAAGCCAGGATACCTGTCTCCTACATTTCAAGTTGTGATGACCCAAAGAGATTAGTGGAGGATAACTTGCAACTGATTCTATTCTTTTGTTTGTTTTCTTAGAAAAGCTCCAGACCCCCTCAATTTTAGTTCAAAGGTAGTGGTTGTTTTTATCCATAATTCTTTCCTAAAACCTGTCAAAAGAAAAGAATACTTGGAGTTCCTTAAGAATTTGAAGTAGCAATAATGTGTGTCATTAAACTGGTCTTCTTTCATGATCTTAGCTTGGAACTGTACAGTTACAATTGGAACTGTAGGACAGGAATGTTAAAATATTAGCTTAATATTGGTTATATTGCTATAGTGCTTTTGCAGAATCACATCATGAGGTTTTGCGATGAGAAAGGTCATGCTGGTGTCAGTGAACACTATTTAAACAGCCTATTTAGCCAACATAGTTGGTTTGTTTGTTTTTTTCAGAAGGCTTCTGTAGCTCCTATGAAATGTTTCTTCAGTACAATGTTGAAGGGATTGTTTAGATCCTGCTCCTGATGAAGTCAAAGCACATTCAAAATATTTGGACCGCTTAATTCTCAAATAGGCCTCAGAAGGTGCTGTGGGTTTCTTCTATTATAAATCAACATTATCTTGTGATGCAACTGAAATGTTGTAACAGTTCAGCTTTTGTCTCACATGCTATAAGAATGCAAGTGCTGCTGAAACGGTGTGTTTCGTATGCTGAGCCCAAATGGCACTGAGCTAACTTCCATTGAAGTGTAATGAAACTTCTCTAGTCCTACACGTAAAACAGAATAGCCAGTTTGAATTCCAAATTAAATGCCTAATTCACATGCCTGCTTGCCTACTTGTTAACACCCTTATGAGTAATGTGACCTATTGAGCTTAAAAACAAGGAATATGTGTTTGGAGAGAAACAGACTTATGAGAGTCAGTGCTTGCATGTGACAACTACCTAACCAGGATATGTTAGTGCTTGCATGTGAGAACTACCTAACCAGGATATGTTGAAGCAAATCAGTGTTCAAGGGCACTGGTAGCAGGTGCTTTACAAGCCCCAGGATCACATAGTCTGTCTCTAACTGCTCAGTTCATTAACTTTCTTATTGCAGTTGACTACTATCAGATGTAGATAATTATTCAGATTTTGTTACTTTTCTCTTTTCTGCGGCAAAGGAATTTGGATACAGTATTGTGGCAGGATATTGTCATCTTGGACTTTCATATGACCCCACTAGTTATATAAAAATAAGCAATGGGCTAAATAGTTGGGAAGGAAATAAGGGAAGCCACAATAATCAAAGAAATTGGTAAAGGTATTAGGGAACATTTCCCCAAGCTTAAAGATTTATTTAAATAGGACTCATCACCGAGCATGCCCCAATATGTTGTGGAAAATTGAAAATTTATCCTAACATCAACCAAGGCTAAAGAATAAGTCCTGGGAGAAAATTAAAGAAAATGAGGCAGACAGGCAAGGGATTAGCTTGACTGTAGAAATCAATTCATGAATATTATCTTAAGAAACAATGGGTATGAGATGGTTGCAAACAAAGAGACAAAAATATTGAGGATCTTAGAGAGTCACCATAGGCAACAGTTTTCTAAAGTGAATAAATTAGATCCCCAAAAAGCAACTTGTAGCTTGCTGTTTGGTACAGAAGACGGGCTACTCCACTGTGTGGCAAAGCCAGATAATACAAATTGAGTGCTTCTAAGAAGAACAGAATAAGGAGCAAACCTGACTATCATGAATCTTACTTCCAGTTTACATTAATAACTATGGAGAATGTACATGGATTTTCCATCTCCATATTCCACTGAGATGTTTCAGATGTAAATTGATGTAAATTGAATAGTGAGAATATTTGAAATTCAATTTTCTCTTGGGACAGTCACAGTTTAGCTTTAGCAGAAGGGTTAAATTGCTCGTTGCATACCCCAGAGCTGAATGTCAGATTAAAACCTCAGTAGTTTCCCTTGTATGAATAGTGGAAGAGGGTTTGCCAGAGATGTTCCTTGAATCCAGCTCTCCTCA